AGATGTTTGATGCGTACGTCCAGACCAGGTTGACAATGCTGCATGATAGCTAAGCCATGTGTTTACAGCAAATTAGGCCGCCGCCCAACCCCATGCCGGTAGAGTAGTTATCGATTGTGAATTGTGGATTGCTCTCTAATTTAGATTGAGTAGTTATTAAGTTCAATAATTGTAAATTGGATTTGATGATTGAGTTTAAAAAACATGTTAAATGATGTTGATGCTTTAATTAGTTTTGTGTGTTAAGAGATATAAAGTTGCTGTAAGATATTGTGCATGCTATTGTAACTTTTTCGACTATCAGACCAGACCTCCTCAATACTGTGATGCAAGACACACAGAAGAAAATTCAGTAAGCTTTTGAAAACACCCATAAAGGGGGAAAAAAAAAAGGAGGTTAAATATATATCAAAGAATGAAAACACGATGTTTTGGTTTTCAAACCATTCAATCTCTATTATCCCAATAGTCGGACCTCTCTAATAAGATACGTACGTTATGACTTTTTAGCAACTTCTTTGGTGGTAGGGACTAGGGACTAGGGAGGAATCCCCAGGGCAAGGCAATGTGGTAGACATCCATTGATTGTTGGTTAGATTTCGTTGCTTGATCTTGTCCAGCACTAACCATGCATGTTAAGCCATGAAATTAACGTAAGAGCTTGCACGGTTCCACTCAAAGTTTAGCTCTCTTTGGTTGAGAGTTTTTTTTTTTTTTTTTTCTGTTCCTCCCACCAGATTTCTTTTCGGTCTCCACATTCTAACCTTAATGTTCTTCGATTCCTGATGTTAATATTTTCTAGTCAACAAAGTTGGAAATCATTCCACTTTCAGTGGAAACCAATCAACAGCCCGTCAAGAGGGTGAGAATCCATGCAACAAAAAGGTTCGATTTTATGCGATGCTGGCCATTCAATTGCAAAATTTGATTCGTGTACGAAAGTTCCCCAATCGATGGAAAGTATTTAATACGTTTATTATGGTAAAGAAAGACCTAAGATAAGTAACAGCTGCATAAAATATGGCAAAGAAAGGGCACCACTTCTCTTCACTTGTTTAATCAATGGTATTCTCAAAGACAGTCAATGGCGATCAAATTTTCTTTTCTTCAAAAAGAATAAAATCAAAGAAAAAAAACTCTCAATTGATTTAAGACCTCATATAAATTTGCTTCTATATATGGAAGAAAGTGATTTAAATTTGCTTCTATTATGTGGTTCGATTTTCTTCCATATAAACTTTCTTCCATATATAGACTTTCTTCTATATATATGAGATTTTAAATTTAAGACCTCTCGGTTACACTCCCTTCTTCCATATCATCTAATCCATCCTTTTTCTAGATAATTGTATATTAATCATCAACTTTTAAAAAGTTGTTTTTTTTTTTGTTTTGTTTTGTGAAGGGAAAAAAAAAGAAAAGTTATAGCACCAAGAGATATAAGGAATAAAACAAAACTGTTGTTCATTTGAACGAATAGTCAAGATCCAATTTATCAGTTGCTTTCTTCTTGGAACTTTTAGAAAGTCCACAAAAGAGGGTAGCTCTGATATTTTAGTTTATGCAAAATTGTTGCTGTTGTTGTCTTTTTCTTGATCTTTTGTTCCGGGTCGTGTAATGCTTAAAGACTGAAGAATAAATTCCGACCAATCGAAATACATTTTGAACCAAACAACGGTGTCGTAATCCCAACTCCGTACGTCGTATTTTTATCCACGTGAGGAGGTCATAGTAATCACTTTCTGCGATGGCCTAAGATAGCCTTGACTTGCTAAAGACAGAAAACATCCTTTTCTGAACCAAACAATGTATTTGCCACATTTTCACTCGGATACTTTACGTTTTATTTATAATCCACCCTTTTGAAATACTTGTCTCTATTTGCTTTTTGGACGAAAGATAAATATTCTTTACAATAGTATAAATTGATTGTCTGGTTCTTTTTCTGAGTCCAGTGAGCCACCTGAGAAAAGCACCTATTGAATAGACAAATCCTTTCTCACTCCTCGGTACCCACCTCACAAATATTCAGATGTTTAACTCTCCAAAGATCATGAAATTAAATATTTGTCCAAAAACTATTGGAGTAAATTTCTAGAGAAAGGTAATTGATACTTTACTTTTATAGACGTTGGACGACCTTTTTTCTTTCCCAATTATTTATCATCCTAATATAATTATAGCTTTTTTTTTTTTTTAAAGTGAAACACTATTTTAAAATATTCTTGTTTGCTTGCGACTTGTGCTTCAATTTAAGCTTGTTTCATCTGCTGCTCCGTTTGGATAGGTCATTTTTTTAAAAACAAAATTTTTATATATAATGCGACAATAATACACAAACAAAAATAATTTAAGAAACACCAAAAACAGCCTCAAAAGCACCAAAAAATTTAAAAAAAAAAACAACCTCAGAAATATCAAAAAACAAGCTTAAAAACAATCTCATATACAGTAAAAATTTTCAATCTACTTTACTACAGTAAAATATTTCAAAACACTCAAAAAATAGTTAATCCAAATGGAACTGTACTAAAAGAACAACAAAGGAAGAAATAAATGATTACAAGGTACGCAACCCCTTGCTCTTCAAAAAATTAATCTGATGTATTCTCAAGATCTTGTTTTTCATCAGATTTCTTGATGGTCAATTTGACATAACCGAAAAAAACCTATTTGGGTTGCAATTTTCTAGAGTTTTTACAGAAAATGTGATTTTTGATGTATGTAAGTTAAAAAGGTGATTGAAAAACGTGTTTACGAAAAACATAAAACTTTTTTTTTTTTTTTTTGGTGAAAAATGGCTTTCCAAACAAGGAAGCAACCGAGTACAGGCCCAACTAACATTAAAACCAAGAAGAGTCGATTGGGTATATGGGTCTTATGGTTCCATCATCCATTACTAAAAATTACCAAGTTTGATCACGCTTTGAATTGAAAAGTGGCCACCCCCATTTTTCATGCATCGCTAGAAGCTTTTAGCTGGTGCCCTTTGTATCTCTCGTGCAAATGGCAAGGCTGCTTTTTGAAGTTGGAGACAAGGATCTTTGACTAGAAAGAATATGTTGATAAGTCAGCAAAGCTATTGGATTCACCAGCATGAAAATCAGTACAATTATGTTAAGCATATACTTAGGCTATATATATATATATATATATATATGTATTTCAATTACCCCAACTATTTCTTGGAGCTAATTGATGATTGAATGGTCCTGGATCTCCAATTACATTGGAGGTTCTTCGCTTGCTGAGAAAGATTTTTGACTGGATACTGATAGTAATATAATTGTTAATAACAGTGATAAATACGGAATGTAATTCCACTTCGACTACACTTTACATCTAAGCATGCATTTTAGTTCAGAAGGGGTTAGGCTGGTGCATGTACCAATTTTTCCTTACATCTGGCATGGACCATCCCTATCTGAGTGATTATCAGCTGAAACTAAGACCCCTTTGCATAGCTATTTTCTAAAGTTTTTATTAAAAAATATATATGTACCGTAACGACTTAATGTAATGTATGTGAGGTGGAAAAAATAATTGAAAAGTATAAATTTTTTTTTTGCAAAAAATAACAATCCAAATTTGCGTGGGCAAACAAATATTACGTCGAACAGAGTTAGAGCCACTTCTAGAGCACCATACTGCTCCATTGGTTGTGACTATTGGACTTCCTCAACTTTGTCATGGAAGTGGAATAACAAGAAGGGCCTTAGCAAAGTTGTCCTTGTGACCAAATTTAACTCGTAGGAATATTATTTTGATAATTGTGAGGTTCTTGGTTCGACTTTCAAACATTCTTTTTTTTTTTTTTTTTTTTGTTTTCCACTCTCCTCTTCTCTTGTGTAAGGTTTGAGCATTCCTTTGAACTTGAAGGGAAAAAAAAGGGGACTCAGTTGGGTTCTAGTTCGGAACAGATCGATTGTGCTGGAGGCTCAAAGGAATAATTACGAGGTCTGGACTCAAGCTCAAAAAGGGGAAAAAAAAGAAGAGAAATTTGCAATTGGCTTATGAAGAAAAGCTACAGAATGGCTGAGAATTTTGGGTAAGCACTAATTTTAAAACTGTTTGCTCAGCCCATGCGCTGGATTACTTTTTTTGAATGGCCCAACTGAAAGTTAAACAACACATCCGCATTTTACAAAGACATGAGCCCATTAGAATCCCGATGGCTTGCCTTTGAGGATGTAGCGAACCATTGCATTTCTATTTTGTCGTAATCTATCTACTGTCACCAAAAACTATTTACGAAGAAGAAAAATGTTACCATAAAAAAAAAATGCTAACAAAACTGAATTCCCAAATTGCAAAGTAGATTCACAATACACACACACACGTATACATATAATACATATATCTATATCTACACACACATATATGTATATATTACTTCGTTTGGTCAATGAATTGAACTAGAATAAGCACTCCCTCAAAAAAAAAAAAATATATATATATAAAGGAATAAGCATCATCTAATTGAAGTGAAAAAATTTCACTATTGGATAATAAGCTAACAACGATTTTGGAGACTGATGATTAAACTTGAAATCTTAAGACGTAAGGGGAAACAAAAGTTAACAAGACGTTTGATACAATGAGAACAAACTCCATAATATATCCAATGTCGTTGCTTTTATAATTTCCTGTTTTTCCAATCTCTATTAACTTTTAGTTCTTACATTCCTAGTACTGGAAACAGTTAACCACCAGCTAGAGGTCACCACCAATTGTCACGTTACGTAATTATCTTAAAAATTCAAACAAGTATATAGTACAATTCGATTGATTCGATGATTCAGTTTTCATCGATTCTTCTTATTGACTCAGTTGAACCCTTTAAAATAGGTTAGAATAGAAATAAAAGTAGATTTGATTTGATGGTAATTTAGTTTTTGGGTTCGATCTCTTCATTGGCTCAGTTGAGCCCCTAGAATGAGCTACCCATCGTACCGATCGCAGGTGTAGGATAAATTATTACCGACCGTACCCAAAAACAAAAAAAAAAAAAAAAAAACTGGAAACGGGTTGTTTTCTCGGGAGGGAGTACTCAAACAAGTTGCCTACTCAGAAACCTCGCTAAAACCCCAGCTCCCCAGTTTCCGGCCACAGCCTCTTCAGTTTTGCTGGCTTACCAGTCATCAATTCCATTCGCTGGACTAATCCATCCAATTGGCGTTAATGGAGGTTAACCAGGTAAACTTCAGCACCTAAATTCATCCCTTTAATTCTTGATTCAATATAGACATATCCAGTATCCAATAGTTCATAAAATGGGAAAAAGTAGAGCTGCCTCTTTGACCTCGTGAATTATTTTCAAACGGGCTAACTGTAAAAAAGCTTCTTCAGAAGTTATGGGGGATTTCTTGGTTGTAGTCCAGTATAGATGTTCATTGAATGATGGCCCAGAGGGTATGCTACGGTGAAATCATCCTTGTTTTTTTTTCCCCTAAAGATAGTCATCCTTTCTTATTAATCTAATATCTTCCCTGTTTAACCTTATTCGTTTCCTTATAACAAAGTGGAAGCTGAATTATATGGTGCATCTAGTTAGTGAAGCCTTAAGTAAATGTGCCATTTTTTGGTAACTTACAAATACAAGTGTGCATATGTAATGAATCCAGAATTTGTTTTGATTGTATTGAAAGATGAAGTGGAGTGCAAGGGAAGTGCCAGAACGCTAATGATGAGAGAAAAAGTGATAAAAACAGATTTCCATCATGGAAAAGGAGTAAATAGGGCTATTCTGCAATTCCATCTCTCCCTTCATCCCTTATTTTTTTTTTCTGTTTTTAACCAATAGGTGTGAATTAATTACTTCTTACATGTGAAGTGGGTGTCTTTGCTGTTGCTTAGGTTGGAAATTAACTTACTTTTCTACTGTTCTTTTATTGTGAAGGCGTATATATCCCCCAATACTGCAGAGACTGATGATGAGATCTCATTTGTTCTTGATCTTTCTGAGAATGATCCTTTGTTCCAGAAGAAAAAGGTTTGCATTTTTTTTTGTAGCACATTTCCCACCCTTATAAATAGGCACCCCCGCCCTTGCCCAAGAAAAAAAGAAAGAAAAAAAAAAAGAACTTCATAATGAGTGTTTGGTTAATGATTATGATTTTTCTCCTTTTCTTTTTAATTTTACTCTTAGCATGTGACAGAAATTACTGGAAGACGTAGGCTTTGATCCAAAGGGAAGTGTTGCCTTGAATATTGCCTCCAATCCTGATCACTTGAAGCATGTCCTGGACATGATGCTTAAGCGTGCCAGAATCATAAACTTGAATGAGGTAATCTTTTGTGCTATTTCCTTCACAGGACTCTATTACAAGCAACTATATTTTATGTATCTACAAGTTACTTTTGCCTTAGCTTCCAGGAGTCAACCACTGAAATGCTCTGCTATGAACTGTCATCCTGGTTGATTTTTCAATCTTGTGGTGGAAACTATAACTTTTTCAGTACTTGATGCACTTACCAAGCTTTTGCCTTAGACATTCAAGGTGATTGTAATATGGGTAGATAATCCCCTATCCAGAAATGTTTTAGAGCAGCTGCTTGTTTGAATGTCATTTATGAATATTTTCTTAGGATTTCATTAAGGATGAAGCAAATATTTAATTTTTTTCAATTCGAAACTTGGTATAGTCTAAAGTCCATTTTTGTGTGTGAAGTCATCTTTGGAACTTCAGTTACTGTCATCTGTCAATTTTGTTTCATCAAATTATGTGACCAAGCCTTCTCTTGAGCAACATCATACTACACACTACCCCAAATGCATTTTCTAAGTGCAAGCGATTGACACTATATCAATGTACATGTTATGTTGCAGATTGAACTGTATTTTGGGGGAGCAGATTTCGCTAATCTGGTGGGTTTTAATAGTCCAAGGCATGAGTTGGAAGCTCTACATTCTGTTCTTAGACTCATTGATTGTTCAATTTCCAATGGTAAAGTCAAGAATAAAAATTCACTGCAAGAGATACGCAATGCAACAGTTAATATGATAGATGAACTTGGGCACAAGTATGGAGAGGAAACTAAAGTTGTTCAAGACTCCAGTTGTGAAAATAGGGTTATGTATTTTCACTTTTTTATTGACGGTACAGATGTTGAAGGAGCTGGAAGAGGAGCTATCGCTAAAGAAGATCTGAAAATTGGGGACATTGCTCTAGAGGTCCCTGTGTCTTTGGTCATTTCCGAGAACCTGGTTTTTGAAACTGGCATGGTACATTTTGCACTTTTAAGCCCTATTGTTGATGTGCATCTTTAGCAGAAGCTTTTTCTTCTCTTAAATATGCATCTTGTGAAACATAATTTCTCTTGCCTGATGGACTTGTATGTGCTGGAATTTTCTTTCTGCAAAAACTAAATCATCATATGGTGCAACAGCAACTTTTCTGTCAACAGTGTAGAAGCCATTCTGCTTAAGTTCTCTTTGTCAACTTCACATTTTATTCCAGTTGAGCTATTAACTACTGTTTAAACTTTGCAGCCAGAATCTAAAATATGTAGTGATGTCATTAGTCATTTGTACTTTTAAGGCAGTTTCCAATATTGGAGAAAATTGAGGGGATTTCTTCAGAGACAATGCTATTGTTATGGAGCATGAAGGAGAAACACAACAGCGATTCCAATTTCAAGTTATATTTCGATACGTTGCCTGCAGTGTTTAATACAGGTTTCTTTTTCTTTATAAACTTCTGTATTCATGTCTACTTTATTAAGTTTCTTGAACTACATAATTGCCTAAAGTTTTCTGGCTATAATATTTCAAGTCCTAATTTCAACTATGCATTCAATTTCACCCTTTCATTGACATGATTCTCATAATGCATCTACATGTACAGGATTGAGCTTTGGGGTCAATGCCATCATGGCTTTAGATGGAACTATCTTATTGGAAGAGATAGTACAAGCAAAAGAGGTTATCTCCCTTTCAATCTATTTTCAGTCAGCAAACTTTTAGGCTTGCTTAGTGTGTTTCTTGATAACTAATTCTACATGCATATTGATTAAACAGCATAATCACTTTTAGAATTTTATGGAGTTCTTTAGATTAATGCATGTAGTTGATTCTTCTATGGAGATTTATTTGATGATTGCTTCGTTGCATGCACAAGTGAACCCAAGCATAAATCACATTTAAAAAAGAATGGAAAAAATATGTGGAATTGAAACTATCATGCACTAAACTTTCTTGTGCAAAGCCTTTTCTTCAAATTTCTCCAGTACAATGTTCATATGAAACCTCTATCTATCCCAAGTTAACTTTAGTCTTTGTGAAGTCTCTCTAACTTCTGGACTTGATTCATTGAACTAACACTGTTACCTCTGTTGTTATTTCAGTAATGAAAAATGGCATTAATCTGTGTCTTAGGATGAAGTTACAGAAATTTTGAATGAAAGTGTTTCATTGTGGCATATAGGCGAGAATATTGCAACACTGACCTCCATGAATTTGAATTGTCAGTAAGCATTTCTTGTTACGTTTTTGTGAATGATTTCTGTTTGTTTCCTATGTCCTTGCAGCACTTACGTAACCAATATGAACAGTTATTTCCTGTCCTATATGAGAATTATCCTGACGTATTTCCACCAGAGCTTTATACATGGGAGCAGTTTCTCTGGGCTTGTGAGCTCTGGTACTCCAACAGCATGAAGATTATGTTCAGTGATGGAAAGCTAAGGACCTGCTTAATTCCTGTTGCTGGATTCCTGAACCACTCAGTCTGTCAGAATTTTAGTCAGAATTTTAGTTTTCCTGCTTTTCTTCCTCTCTTTTACTTGAGTATATTAATTTAGATTTGGCAACCAAGAACATAATACATCTTATTAGAAAAAGAAGGCCATAGAAAGAGAACCTACAAATTCAGCTGTAGCACCGCCAAAGAAAAAGTGTTTTTTTTTTGTTTTTTGGGGGGGGGCGGGTTTCTGCTTCTAGCATTCCCTGGATGGACTCGACAATCTACTCCTTCCCCTCATTTAATATGCTTTCCCCAAAAATGTGTTTTTATTGCCTGCTCAGATACTCTCTCAAAAGCAGTAGCCACTGGCTTTTGGTGCCCAGACACAATGCTTTGCTTTTCATTGATTATCTTATTTTTCTGCTTATACCTGTGTTTCTTTCTGTGACAGACGTGTCCACACATAACGCACTATGGGAAAGTAGATCCATTGACAGATTCTGTAAAATTTCCTTTGTCAAGGCCTTGCAATGCAGGAGAGCAATGCTTTCTTACCTATGGAAATTTCTCCAGCTCACATTTACTTACTTTTTATGGCTTTTTGCCACGACAAAAAAATCCTTATGATGTTATTCCGCTTGGTAAGGCCATAAGATAATTGAGTTTACTTTTGTGCATTTCCTTGCATTTCAGAAATCTTGTATGAACATACAATTTGCTGTTCATTTTGACTTGAGATAAACATATATCTTGGAAGCGCATATAGATTATCCTCCTTTTATACTTAGTTCCTTGTATGTGACAGATATTGATATTGCCCAAGATGAAGATTGTGAGGATGCAGGGCGCATGTCTGATTGGGACAGTCACATGGTGCGGGGCACCTGGTTCTCAAGGAACAATGGGATTTTCAATTATGGTTTGGCACCTCCATTGCTTGATCACTTTCGAAGGGCTCGGGGGCCTATCTCACGAACAAAGACCCACGTAATTCCAAGCCAAAAGTGTCCTTCATTTTTCATCTGCATTTCCACTTTGTAATTGTCAAATGGTCCTCCTCTAGCTCTTTGCATGACCCTTGTCAGCGTGTAAGCCTGATCCTTGGCTCTGCATCATTATCTCTCCATGCAGGATAGCCTGGAAATTGAAGTTGAAATACTCAACGACCTTCGCTCTACCTTTGAAGGTATGATGGAGTCCCTCGGTGGAGAAGAGCTTGATGACAGGTAAGTAGCAGTCAGCTTGTAATATGCAACCTCCAGAAGTTGAAATGCATTTCAAATTTCTGAAGGTCTCACCACTTCTCAGGGACAGTTGCAGTTGGGATGTAAAGCTTGCAATGGATTTCAAAGACTTACAGAGGAGAATTGTCTCCTCAATCATAACTTCATGTGACGCTGGTTGCAAGTTGTTGGAATACGAACTGAGCAGATGCTCAGAATAGCAAGGATGTGTAATGGGAAAAAAACTTGTAGCAGGTAGGAGGGCATCATCTATAACCTTGCATTTGGTTAGTTTTCAAACAAAAGTTGTGGAACCGAGGCTGTAAATGCATGGGTGATGATGTTCCAGTTGGTCCTTCAAATGGCCTTTTCTGATACCTGCGAAACTGTAGGAAAAGGTTTCACTAGCTTGTCAGTTGTCCTTCATGGCCTAGTCATCAATTATTTTTTCCCCCCTTTAAACAGGAAAAATCTCTGAAATTGGCTGCACGAGTCGAGTCGGGTTGATTGTGTGCATGAATCCTTAATTGTTCTCGCAACACTGTTCACTGTGGTTTACATTTGAATTTTCTTGACAGCATTACATTTTCGAAAATAAAATAAACTTCCGAATGATTCACGCTTTCTTGGAACTTGCAAGGTGTGTTTGTTAAGCAATTCGTTGATCACATAAAATGCTACTTTGGTTTTTACCAAATCATCAAATGGAAAGAGTGTTTTCGTAATGCCTAATGCCGTGTATTTTGCTATAATACGCATTTTTATGTAGCATTGTTTATTGTACTGGTGATGAATCCAGGAGAAAAATGTAGGTCAATTAGAATTCATGGGATCTACCCTGTATCGTGTATGTAACAGATAGAAAAAAGAGGCCCAGGTTGCAGTTTTCTCCGTGAGGGAAACCACCTTATCATTGGAATTTAAAGGAAGGGAATTATTATATACTTTCTGAAGCATCCATTGCCACTATATCAAGTCGTTGTTGAATTTTGAGAAACAAATCCCTATCTCGTTTGTTTGCAAGAGTATAATCAAATAAATGTCAAAATCTGCAATTTATTTTTTAATTTAGAATTTAGAGGGAAAACTTGAAATTCTCATTTTATAGATATATATTATGTGTGTGAAGAATATTGGATTATCAATACTTCCTCAACATGGTTGGGTAATGTAAAAGTTATCAAGAAAATGGATTCCATGGGCTGTACGCTATTTAACTTGAGGAGTCTATTCCAGTTAGCAGTTAGTAGTATTGTCAATGCTAGGTTTCCTGCGAGAATTTAAAAAGGGAAAAAAAAAAAATCTGAGTTGTCTACTCCGTCAATGGCCATCGGAGTAGCCACGTCGGAATGCCGATTACTTCTGGAAGAGATGCTTGATGGCTTCAGGGCTGCCGAGCAACATTTCCGCAATGCCGTTCATGTCGAGCTGCCAGCATTTATCCCACTAATGGATCAAGTCAGTGCTGAAATTCAGGTTCTGTCGGAGATCGCCCAAGATGTCATGCAAAATTTTGATAAGATGAACTACCTCTGTACAACGCAGCAAAAACTGGACAGCATGAGCAAGGCTGTGGATTATGTGGACGGAGTAGTTGCAAAGATCGAAGAAAAGATGGAATTCTACAACGCCGCGAAGGATTCTTTCCAAAGTAAGAAAGATATATTTGATCAATGTTCCGGGGTCGTCAATGGTGATCTCCCGTCACCGTCTATTCTTAACCAGCTTGATGCTATTGATGAAAAATTGAGCAGTCTGACTGTATCTTTCCGGGAGGTTGATCAAGTGTTGAATCCAATCCGAGGGAGTAATCTTGATGATGATGATGGTCAGGCGGCTGCAGGTCATGATAATGTGGTGAGTTTTCGTGATTAAGGTAAATTTTCGAGTTGTTTCTCCTGAATCATCATCATTTTGGCTTAGTGAATTTGAATCTGAGGAGGTGATTTTTGGTTGGTAACTAGACCGACCTGGATCAGTCCTCTCTGAGATGAAGTGAGGTGAACTCCTGTGTCCGAAGTGAACCTCCTTGTCCGAAGTGAGTGGCGGGGCTTCTCCCCTGGTATCACTCCGACGATCAAGTTAGTATGAGAACGAGAATAATGAGAATGAGTTAATGAACAGTGTCCGCTTTCGGGAGTTCTGGCTGTCTCCTCCCGTGGGGCCACCTGAGATGGTGTTGATCACCCCGACTATGTTTGGGCCGTAGCCTGGTGATCCGTCACGTGGAGGCCTCTGATCCCCCTTGTGGTTCTCAGGACCTCGGCAATTAAGCTTGGTGTCCCGCCTGTCCTCTCGGCGAGGACCTCGGCTCTCCCGGTGGGAGGCACTTCGGTTGAAGCTTCCGTCTTTGCGGATGAACTGCTTCAGGTATCCTTGTCGGATCAGGTTTTCGATCTCTCGGTTCAGATCGTTGCAATCTTCAGTCTCGTGCCCAACGTCTCGGTGGTAGGCGCAGTAGAGGTTGGAGTTCCTCTTATCTCTTCTCCCAGGGATCTCAGGAGGTGTTCGGCCGAGGTGATTTTGCCTCATCACCGCCAAGACGTGAGACCGACTAGAATTGAGTGGTGTCAGCTCAGCGTCCGAGGTGGATGATCTTCCTTTTACGATCCGGTCGAAGACACTCCGGCGGTCCCGGGGTGGATTTGAAGTGCCACTTGGGCCGGGTTCACCTCGGCCGATGTCTTTCCTTCTCCGGGTATCTTGTCCCGTACGAGAGGCTTGGGTTTCTCGCTTTATGCGATTAACATCTTCACTTCGGATTCCCTGGTCCACTCTTTCCCAGAGTTCGTGAAGTGTACGGGGGTAATCCCGATGGATTTCGGTGTTGAAGAGTCCGGCCACCAACCCGTTGGTAAAGGCCGCGAGAGTTACCTGCTCATTCTGATCAGGTATTTGCACATTCTCCTCGTTGAACCTTTGAGCATACGAGCGAAGAGACTCGCCCTGACCCTGTTGAAGGTTCAAGAGATAAGCTGAAGTTTTCGTGATTGGTCGAGACGACACGAAGCGGTGGATGAACCGGTCTATCAGCTCATCCAGGGAGGAAATGCTCCCCGGTTCCAAACTCCAGAACCACTTCCGGGCAGTCCCATGTAGGAAAATGGGGAAAGCCCGACAAATCACGGCGTCGGGGACGCAATAGAGTCGGAATGCGGAGATGAAGGCGCGGAGGTGATTCTCGGGATCACCTCGGCCGTCATAGGTGGGCAAGTTTGGAAGCTTGAAATTCGGGGGTACCATCTCCCCATTGATGTCATCAGTAAAGGGCGGAGCCCTCATGTAGTCAGAAGCCAGGCCCCCGGGGCGCCGAGGTGGGTCCTCAGCTCGTTTCCCCATCAGTCTCCGAGACAGCGCCCGGGAGATGGAGGCAAGTTTAGACGTTGCCTTGGAGGAGGCGCGCCTGGAGGTACTCCGAGAGAGTCGCCCCTCATCTGAGTCTTCACCTGAAGGTACCTCAGGGGACTTCGTCGGCCTCCTCTTGGAGGACTCGGCCTTTTCTTTCCCTTGTCTTTTGAGGTACCTTCCTAGCTCCTCAAAAATGGTAGGGTTGTATGATACGAACTCGGCCATCTTGGCGATGGCCTCCTCGCTGTTAGGCTGGGTCCTCGGGGACCCTTGCTCTTCAGAAATGCGATCTTGCTGGGCTCCCGAGGTCTGCCCAGCCTCAGTTGAGGGAACTCGACCACTTCTGGAGCGCGTGGATCTCATTTTAGTAATAGTAGTCTCGTTCCCATAGACGGCGCCAATTGAGGAGGTGATTTTTGGTTGGTAACTAGACCGACCTGGATCAGTCCTCTCTGAGATGAAGTGAGGTGAACTCCTGTGTCCGAAGTGAACCTCCTTGTCCGAAGTGAGTGGCGGGGCTTCTCCCCTGGTATCACTCCGACGATCAAGTTAGTATGAGAACGAGAATAATGAGAATGAGTTAATGAACAGTGTCCGCTTACTTGGTGGGAGTGTGAGTGAGGTATTTATAGGAGAGTAGAGGCGAGGCTCTGGACTTATGTTAGTGGGACCCACTCTGACATTACGGCTCTGTCTCCTGTCAGGGAGTCTGACTCTGACACTGTAGCCGCCTGGGAGTGATGACGGAGGACATGGTGCAGGTGCCATTAAGTGCTCCCAGTGCTTTTCAGATAAAGTACTGGTCCTGGATGATGTCAGATGGGTTGACCTCATCATCGTGCAGCCGAGGTGGAGGTGCCGAGGTCACCTACACGGTTGACTGCGGATCCGGCCGGGGTCTGGGACGATGCCCCAGACCTGGATGGACTCTGATGAGGGACGAGGTGACTTCACCTCGGACACGCGGGGTGGCCGAGGTGAGCACCCTCAGAATCGATTTTGTGTCGATAAAAACTGTTTTAGGTCCTGATGACTGGTGGCCATTAGAAGAGAGCCTCCGTCGGTGTTGACCCTACGAGTTGTGATCGTACGGGTCAGTGGGTGATGTTTTTTTGGGCGATTATTTTAGTGTTTAATCTTGTCTCTCCTTCCTGATTATGATGACTTTGATCCATGGTTAGTGACTAGTTCGAGAAATTGATAATCTTATACATAATTTTTTATGGTTATTTCCAATGTTTTGAAACTCAGATCGGCCATCGACTCGATCGAGATCAGGAGTTAACGGGTATCTATCCAAGAATCGGATGATATTATCATTATATCATAAATATATTTAATTTTAAAAATGAATACATTATGTAAATTTTTTTTAAAATATTAATATTAAAACAGGTAAGTTCGATGTATGTTTGATGTTTCTAAGATACTTTACAAGAAAATACAAATAAAGTAGTATAATTAAGTAGCAATTTATGCAATTTACCATTTAATGCATATTCAACAAGTTTATAACCAAATTGGAGGGCTTATTTGAAAAGTAATACAAGAATTTAGGGCTTTAGCTATAAGTTCTAATATGTTTCTAGGTGTAATAATAGTTTTCTTGTACTCTAGGGGTCAAATCATAAAATTAATAATATGTTTCTAGGTGAATTTTTTACTTTCTTTGTTTTTCCATTTTTTTTTTAATCTCTTTTTGAACTTAGATCTTCCATTGGAGTTGTTTGAGAGAGATTGATGGTAGGATATGTGAAGAGACTTAGGAGTAGTTCAAAAAAAGATTTAAAAAAAAAAAGATGAAAAAAATCCGATTCGAAGCGATTCTTTTGGTTTTCGGTCAAACTCATTTTTTGATCGGGTTTTTGTTTAGCGGTTTTACCCATTTG